AATAGGACAGGTATGAAACATATGCTGGTGACACGTCGGAATATTGGGGCGTATTGGAGCTGTAGAATGTTATCAGCATCGTCGGCGGTTTGAGCACATTCATTTGCTGAGAGGAGTGGGGGAAAACCATGCTTCACATTCTGGAGGCTGTTCACTTGTTTGTAAAGAAGGTTGTTAGCACACAACATTCATATTATGGAATGGGCTTATAAGTGAGGTACCTAAAATCCGGTCAGCGATACAGTTTCGGAAGTCATTACCTTGATTTCTCAACGTTGAAACAGCTATTGGTGTACGGAGACCAAATATGACGAATGTCCTTATGAGATTGGATACAGATAGGTAGGTTGGCATGCCCGGTTTTCTTTTTCATCGCCTGACTCGACTAGTTCCCTGACGCTTAACAGGGGCATAAAGTCGTTTTGTCTAAAAACCACGATTTTCCGCCTAACGTTACATCTAAGCTAACCAAAGCGAAAATTTGTCTTAGCTTTTTCCGTTTTAATTCCTTGTGTTCGTCCGACATTACTATTGTTTCCTGGAGGTTCCAACTCAGGTACACGCTGCAGTTTTCCGCGCTCCACAAAATCCAAAGCGATTAGCTTCACCTGAGAGAACCATCCGAAAATCCTCCATGTGATGCACTGTTTATAAATAGTTTAAGTGCACTGACGAAGTCACCTCGCTTGGTGATGAAACGTTTGCATCCCAACTCCGAAGATCGGCGAACAAGTGAACTCAGTTTAAGCGCTTTCTTGTCCTCTTCGATTTCCTGTATAGACTGAATCAGACAATCATCAGACTATATCTCACTCCAGGAAATCATCTATAACCTTTTCTCAATAAAGTTTTTATTCCATTACATTATTCTCCTTTCCATGTTTGGTCCAAACTGTGTCGATCTCATGTGATGGTGGATTGAAGCTTCCAAGCTTATTAATAATACCCACGCAAGGCGAATTTCCACAGACCCACTGGAAGGAACAAAAGCTACTAGACTCAAATGAGTCGGATTTTGGTACGAAGTGTAACAACAGCCCTAAAGACAAGTTAATACGGTTTTGGCCAATTCGCTATATTAGCACAATGATGACATGCTTTGCTTATAACAGGTGTTAGCATAATGGCGACTCACTTACTCTTAAGTCACATACGTATATGGCTAGATAGGTCGTAGACGTGCGGATAAGACCTCTCAAGCGGCTACCCCCCTTGGAAGCAGGTCCCCAGGAGACGGTTTCAAGGACGGTCGTATAATTATACTTGATCTACTGACCATGCCTACATTAATTCCTACGCTCCACTTTCCGTATTTTTGTTACTTTTAATTAATAGAACACCGCAAAATTTTTGCGTGATCTACTTGTAAAACGTCTCTCCCTACCATCCGATTATGTTGCACAGGATGATCAGACCACATAGATGGTCTGTGTCTCGCACCGTCAAGAGATATCATATATATATATATATATATATATATATATATATATATATATATATGAGTTCTATTCTTGTTCCTAACATTTCATCATCCAGCCTTTGTGGTATTTTTGGGTATTTTCTCCTCGGTTTATTCTGGTTGTGGGACAATCTACCTATGCAAACCTCAACTCATCGCACATATTCGCTCGCTTCATCCACTATCACCCCAGAAACTAGCGAAGCATACCTTTTCAGCGCCTTGTGCTTCAGATCGCACTCATTCCCTACCGATCCCTTTTATCCACATGGTTTCTGCTCTCCTTGACATCTGAACTCAATACAACACTAATCAGGCGCAGTGCTAATGTTGCTCGATATCTCTGTTCCACATCGATCAGTTGTTACCCGAACGAGTATCCACTCCTCACTTTTAATCACCACTTTGTGCCTGATGGAACGATAATCGGGGGACTATCCATTGTCCACTCTTCAATGTACGCTTATTTAGCTCGCCTCTTATGTACAGCAAACCGTTTCAGCTTTCCACACAGCATGGTACTCTTCTTTCTACGTATTATAAACATACCCACCCACAATCAACGCTTTGTGAGCGAGCAGGAGCACTTCCCTAGGATTAGTGAGCTGAAGTAAAAATGCGTCGGTGCCGCAGAATCGGTTCTACCATATATGTGCGTGAATTGACTCCTTCGTGGAAATAATGTTCAGAGGCTATCTGTTTTTGAGCACTGACGACATGGGAGCATTACTGTTGTGCGAGGACGACACCGCCTTGGTTAGAGTTGCATTCGTCGAGCTTTCAAGTTTGCTACACACTACCGATTTCACACTTTCACTGCATCGGCTTCGGGGGGTTTAAAGCAGTGCGTCATATTCTTCCTCAGAGGTTACCGCGTCACGTCTTCTGCGTTTGCGGACCTTAGCTGAAAGCGACAGCAACATGACCAACTGCTAACCCCAACTCAGCTTGTTTTGCCATTATCACGAGAGTTGATTGTCGACTCCCGAGTTCGAAACCCATTGGCCACATTAACTGATGGATAAGTTGAGACTCCACTCCTTTGATTTTGTTGGTTTTTCATTCGTCCTGTTGTTTTTACATCTTGGCAATTCCATCTGTTGTATTGTTCCAAGGTTCGCTTTCTCATCCTCCTTGCACCATAGA